AGTTTAGGATACAAACATACATCTAAACTTTCACATCTTACTAATATTATAAACGCGAAAGTTTAGATGGATGGATGTTTTTTAGTTTGTAACCTAAGCGGCTGAACGGATCTGGATCAAAAAAAATCGGCATAGATGAAGAACTCATAGGCTACTTACTTTTTTTTTATTCCATGAGGACGGAGTCGCGGGCGAAAGGTAGTTTATGATATTAATAAGATAATTCAAAAACAACCTAAATAAATATTTTACTAAGTAATAAGTTACGTTGAGCGTGATTTGAACACATTACCTTCACAAATATACAAGGTTTGTGGCAAAAAAATATACCCTATGACACTCTATGGAAGAAGACCTATCCAGCAACACCTCACTTGTTAAAATAAATCCAGTAATTTAAACTACATGAGGTTACATACAGAAAAAAACATTTACCATAGTAAAAAAGAAAAAAACTCACTTTAAGGAAACTCATACCACCAGCTACCACTTCTCTGTTATTTTCCAGCATCTTCTGTGCGACAGTATCCAGTAGACGCTGCACCGTCTCCAGGCCCAAGTCCTCGGAGAAGCTGAAGAGTACGGAGGCGAGGGCGCGCAGCGTGGCGCACACCACGCGGGGTAGCGTCGCTGACAGACCTGATGACACCATCTCCAGGAAGGATGCCATTCCTGGATATCATACATATTTTAATGTTAATTTGTAGCTTTGTATTTTTTTATAATTTTAAAGTGTTCAAAAACCACGACTGCAAAATTAATAAAATCGGAAACATTGTAAAAATAAAATTTACACTTTTTAATTTTTAGTTCAGCTAAAAAATATAGAGAAATATCTTTAGTTTTAAGTTTTAGACAACTTATTTAATTGATACTGTCGCTTTAAACTCAGAGCAACACTTCTCGCCAGGACTCAAGTTTCGCGCCAATCTATCCATCCTTCTAGTGACATTTGACAGCTGTCAGCTAGGGACGTGACGTTTATGCCGATTATCTAGAGTTGCGCCAATTCTATAGCACGGTACTAATTTTGTTCCTAACAAAAGATACTTCATTCTCATAAAAAAACAAAACATTCGCTTACAATTAGAAAAATGAAATATTTACAATGTAATTATGATCTTCCGCTTACAAGATCTTTTATAAGTTTCCAACTATTCTTTATTTTTTATTTCAAACTTACGGACGTTTTTTTTAATTTAAAACTAACAAGTAGTATTTGTGTTATCTACTAGCGTACCTCAAATAAAAAACCATGAGTTCTTCCAGATTATATGCTACATATGAGAACGGAAAACGGTGAAATTTGGCCTATGCCTGTCTGTTAAACATTTTTGGAGATCCAACATCCATCCATCTCTATGGATTGCTTACCTCCATCCTGTGTCTTCAGCAAGTTCCCAACAGTATTAATAACGTTAAAAGCACATTGTCTGCATTTAGAGTTGATATCTTTAGTGCAAATAACACTTTCCGCTACAGCACTCTTTATTAACTTGCTTTCGCTGTTCAAAAAGTGGCTGCTGTTAATTAAATGCTCTATACACCTGGAAATAGAGATCATTTTACTTTGCATAGTTAAAAAACACAAAATCTTTTAGATTTCAAATAAAATAAAGGAATTAGCTTATGTGTTCTTCCAGACTATCCTCTACATCTATGACTAAGCAAGATCCGTTCAGTAGTTTAGGCTACAAACTAACAAACATCCATCTAAACTTTCGCATTTATAATATTAGTAAGGACGATATGCTTTTATGAACCTTTAAAAAATAATGATTCGAATTAATACTAGAGACTTTGACATTTCTATGACTCTTATGTAGACTACTGTAAGTCACCGTTTTGCATTTTAGACCAAGCTGTTTTTTTTTAAATTATCATAACAAAAATTAATTTCTGATTAAATTTGAAATTCACATTACAATCATTGATTATGGTTGTCTATGTATGTTTAAATGGATACAACACCAAAAAAAAACTTTACTAATTATTTATTTTATATTATATTTTAGAAACCGCACGAATAGTGAGGAAGTTCCTGTCTCTGCAGCCCTGACCACTGGCTGCTTGAGTCATCGGATTCCGCAGCCGGTGGACTTCTATTTTTTTATATAATATGTGTAATTTTGTTATTTTTTTTGTAATAAAAATCATGTGAAATATATTATATATAAAAATAAGAAAATAAAGATTTGAGATAAATAATACATTACTAATATTTTGTTTTGCAAAATTTGCATTTAAAACATACAACATTTTACTCAGGAACCGCCGATAGTCATTTTTTTTTAAAAAAACTTTTTTTTTTTAAATTTAATTAATTTATAAAATTTAATTATTATTGTATATCTTACCTCAATCTGGCAGCTTTACTGCTATCAGCGACTTTATTCAACGAATTCATTAACATTTTCTTTAACTTCTTATAATTACTCTTAACAAATTCCTTACAAGATTCATTCTCACTTTTAAATATCTCCTCTAAAATCCTATAAGCTTTTTTATGTTCCATTTCCAGTAATCTCACTTTTTCCTTATATTTCAACGGTTTAACTTCTCTATCTTCTTCCATTTTCTCTTTTTTCGCTTTTTTAAACTTCTTTGGATCTTCTATTACAGTTTCGGCTAATGGGAATACCCATTTGTCAAATAAAACAGCGATTTCTTCGCTCGTTTGGTATAAAATTAATAAACGGATGACATCTAATATAGATTCTCTTTGGAAATGATTGTCTATGGAAGCTTCTAGTTGCGTTATTGCGTTCTTATATAATTCTTCTCGAACATTCTGGTCCGTTATTGTTAAATATATCTGTAAACATATAAATATTGGTATTTTATTTATATTATTATAATTAATTTATTAAAAAAACATTAAGGGCCTGTCCCACGGCTGGCTGATAGACTGAGATAGCTTAAAAATGACGTCACTGTAAGATAAGGAAACAAAATCCGATATTACCGTCACATATTTTACATGATAGATTGTTATCAGACAGTTTACAATTTGGTGGGACAAGACCTACATCTTTAAAACTAGATCTAATTTTAGTCCTCTTCCTTTCTATGAATTTCGTACAAAGATAGTACGAAAAGGGATTTAGCAAGGGAAGGGACGCATAAGAATAAGGAAAACCCCTTTTTGTGCGTCCACTACTTTTGATTACACACATCTACCAAAGCGAATGTCTGTTCACTTCGCTATTTTGGCGAATTTCAATATTTGCTTGATTTTCACTTTATAATAAATGAAAAAAGCAAATTGTACTCTGTTTTATTTTAAAACCTTTTATAAACGAAGCAAATGTAATATTGTGTAAATTAGAATGGAAAATTATATCATTTTTTTTAAAAAAAATTACTTAACAAAGATATTAACTATAAATACATACCTGGATAGTCTCCAACGCTGCTAACCTATGTCCTTCCCCTTCCCCTTTAGCTGGAGTCATATAAATATTCAACAATATAGGTAGATAGTTTTTAGCAAATCTGCCCAATTCCTTTTGGTCTTCATCTTCAGAGCACATTATTAATTTCCTTATAGCTTGCATCACAGATAAACGAAATTCCGGATTATCTTTTAAAACATTGCCCAAAACACGAGCGATAGATTTAAAACTATCTTTAACATCTTTAGGGTTATTACAAAAACTTGGCAACAAAGACCAAAATTGGTTACACAATAATTCATAAGTATGCGCTTTTGTGTTATCATTATTCTGTTTGTATTCTCGAGATTTTTTCCTACAAAATGTTGCCATATCTAAAATTTCTGTAGCGAAGTATTTCAAATTGGAATTTATGATTTTTTCTCTAAGCACAGGTAATAGCCAGCTTCTTTCTAAGTTAATATCCGTTCCGTCTCTAAGTGGGATGTAAGTTAGCACGAATTCTGGACCTAGGGCTTTGATGGCACTTCCCGTGGCATATTCCACTTCTTTGTGATGGTTGAAGTTATGGCTTTCTTTTATATCGTTAAGTTTCTTTAATAACGGTCCAAGTATGTATGTTAGTTTGTTATTACCTATCTGAAAAGAACAAAGCAAATAATAAATTCAATAAATTTATAAACACTTCTTGATTTCGATGGCTCGTATGTAAACTATCGTATCCCACAAGTTTGTGATTTTCACCTCGTTTTCTATTTTTTTATTTAAATTGTAATTTTAATTGTTAAAAAATTATCATATGGTTATACTAGCTGTTATGTTATACTAGCCCACGATTCCAGTCGCGCCAAATGAAAAAAAAAATAATTATTTTTATTTATTTCTTATTAATATATTTGCTCTTCCAGGCTATATCTACATCTCCATTAAATTTTATCAAGGTCCATTGAGACAATCTAGAGGTACCTTTTACCAAATAACCATCCATCCATCTAACCTTTGATTTATAATGTAAATAAAGCAAAAATTTATACGTCATAATAGTGTTAACATTAAAACTTTTATTTTTCAAAAGTTGAATTTCAGACATACAACAGTTTACATAGGAGCCACTGTTTGACAGTTATACTTACTTCGAAGCATACAGCCAATGTCAAAATAACATGTCTGAGAGCCTGATTGAATGGATTATCTAGTCCTGTTCCGATGGTCTTCAATATTGTATCTATATGGGTTTTATATTTTACGAAATCCTCAGATTCAACAGCGGGTTTCACACAATCCAAAAGCAAAGCCTGGAATAAATAACAGAATACATCACTATTGTATTTGTCTCTTTCATTATATTTGACAACAGACAAAACTAGTATATGTCAATAAATGTTCTATAGTTGAATTTAATGGCAATCTTGGTGTTTCACTCTAATATACTAAGACAGAGACAAAAAACTTATAAAGTTAGAGTTAGCAAACAATGCTGTTTCACTATAATCAAGTAAGTACGACAGAGATAGAAACATAAAAGCCTATAAACAGCAGATGATGCTGTCTCAGTCTAATCAAATAAGTACGACAGAGATAGACATATAGGCCTATAGACAGCAGATGATGCTGTTTCACTCTAATCAAATAAGTACGACAGAGATAGAAACATATAGGCCTATAGATAGCAAATGATGTTGTTTCACTCTCACGTAACAAGTGTGAGAGAGATAGAACCATATAGACACAAATTCTAATTGATGTTATTTCACTCAAATCATATAAGTACGACAGAGAAAGGAACAGATCGACCCATAAATAACCGATGATGTCGTTTCACTCTAATGTAACAAGTGTGAGAGAGATAGATGTATAGGGTGTACCTTTAGTGCGTTAGTGGATGCTGCGTTAACATCGGTGACGTCAGAGTGCCACAGCTCGGTGACGCACACGGTGACGAAAGCGGGCAGGTTCGGTACGCACAATTTCAAATCTAACCTGATTTAAAAAATATTTTTACAAGTGTATTTAAAAAAATTGCTGCTTTCTTTAATTAATTAAATTACAATATCGTTATAACTTGAATTGGAATATATACTTGTCTTATTGCAGAAAAATATAGAACTGTTTTAAAGATAAAATATATTTTATTCTTTACACTTGTAAAAATTCCATTTGCAAATGTCAAAATTCAAATGACAATGTGCACCATCAAATTGGACGATTCTTTTTAATACTTTATTGAACAATTGAAGAATGAAGGAACATTGCAAAGAGTTAAGTAGATAATACTAGCATTTGCGCGCGACTCCGTCCACGTGGAGTAAAAAAACAAAAGAGTATCTGTTTCTTCTTCTAGACTTTATTCATTTAGCAGTTTAGGCTACAAACTATAATAAACATCATTCCATCTAAACTTTTACATTTATATGTAACTAGCTGTTGCTTGCGACTGCGTCCGCGTGATTAAAAATATGGGCATTTTAATGGTGAAATAGTTTTTTAAAATTGGCCTAGTACATTGCGTTATTTCATTACATACAATATCAAAGTAATACAGTAAATAGTATAGTAATGTGTTACCTAGCAAGACAGCAGAGCGCCTGCTGTATTACAGCTGTCCATGCAAGACTCTGTCCAGTATCATTAGCTGGTGGGCGCGAAGCCAGTAGCGCGCGGGCCAGCTGCGAAGCCAGCGCACCGCTCAAGTTGCCCTCGGACACGAAGAGCGCGTGCAGCGTGTGTAGACAACACGTCTTTATGTATATATTATTGTGAGACATTAGAGACAGAATGGACTCACAGATCGTCTGTAAACAACATAGACAAGGAATTAAATTCACTACCCATATCATGCGATTATAATTTATAATCATAATATACATATATATTAATATATATAACAGTGGTAGCTTTAGCATTTTAGCACGAATGGGCTGGTTCGTCCGATGTAATACCACAACCACACAGAAGACAGGCGTGAAGTGGGAGTAATTCCGCGTTTCGTCTGATGAGTGTAGTGCCGGAGGCCTAATTTTAGTCCCGTTCCCTTTCCACCCTTTTCTTAAGAGGAAAGGATGGGAAGGAAAAGAGAATTTGACGGTGGAGGAGACGCATAGCAAGGGGAAATGCCCTCTTTATGTGCGTCTCCTCCACCGTCAATTAAGGGTAGGTAACGCATCTGCAATTGTGAATGTTTATGGGCAGAGGTTGCTTTCAATTACAGTGGATTCAGGTGGCCGCTTGCTTGTTTGCCACCTTATATTATAAAAAAAAACAAAAAATATCTGTAATGATTTATTAAACAGATTATGTCAATGTAATAATAGAAAAAAATAGAAATTTTATAGTAATTTAAATTATTATTTCTGTAATACATTTTAGTCAATAAATTACTAAAAAGGAGTGTAATCTCATATTTTTCATTCCTTTGAATGTAACTATAGCATCAGATATCACACTAGCTGTTGCTCGCGACTTCCTCCGCGTGAAATTAAAAAATAACTACCTATGATACTGATAACATAGCTTTGGTGAAAGAATTATTTAAATCGGCTTAATAATTTTTAGTTATTTCAATACATACAAAAACTACTAGTATAGAAAACTGACAGCATAAAAGTTATATTTCATACACATTATGAATATTACGATAAATTTTAATATAAAAATTAAATCTATATAATTATAAAGAATCAAAAAACTCACCTTAATATAATCCTTACTAAAAACAGATAGCACATCTCTGAGCATGGTCAATATATGCAGTACCGATCTATGTCCAGACAGTAAAGCCTCCGGTTTAATCTGGGATAGACAGTACTCCGCAACTCGGTTACTTGCTGGATGTAACTTAGGAACCTAAGATATTAAATAACATTTAATACTAATAATATAACTTTTGAGTGCTTAAAAGATCTTCCATAAAAATATATAATACTAGCTTTCGTCCGCGACTTAGTCCGCGTGGAATTAAAAAATAAGTAAGTACCCTATGTGTTCTTCCAGAACGTCCTCTACATCTATACCAAATTCCATTGAAATCCGTTCAGCCGTTTAGGCTACAAACTCTAACAAACATCCATCTAAACTTTCGCATTTATAATATTAGTATGAAGTATGATTGAACGATTGTTAGGATGTTTGTCTGTGTGTGCTAATCTCAAAAATGACTTAACAAATTTCGATGTGGTTTTAATTAACTTACTGTGGTTAATTTCAGTTAACATTTACTGTTAGTTTTATATCAATCGGTGGATAAATAGAAAAGTTATAACAATATTTTGATTTGTTAATTTACAAGTTAAGTTATTTCTTGAATTAGCTAAGCTGTATGAGCTAAATCTTATGCCTAGTTAAGGAATTTATTAATTTATACTTATTATAATAAAGCATAAACACACACTTCTTTGTTGCCTAAGATCTCAGCAATTACAGCATGTTTTTGAATAACTATATTTTTAATACTATGCCCTACACTTACGTCACACTTTAGGCTATATATTCTCACGCCATTAAACTTAGGGGGTAAATATTTTAGATAAAAACCCTAATGTGTGAAAGAGACCTTGAGTTGCTGCCAACGTCAAGGAAGCAGAGTTAACAGTGGTAGTGCCCGCTTTAACATCTTAGCACGTATAGGCCGGCACGCCCGGTGTAATACCACG